CCCCCCCCCCCCGAGTGGCCTTTTCTGTTGTACTTATGGGTAATATTAAAGAAGTGGAGTAACTTTGGTCAAGGACCTGCATACTCAGTAAGAATTGGATCTCAGGAAGTAAGGGGTGGTTGACATGTAAATGAGAGAAAAGATAAGATAAAAACCCAAAACTGCTAACACCAGATAACCCACTCTGAACCCCCTCTCATTTTCTAGAGAACTTTGTTGCTTAATAAACTCCTTCTTTCATTCATCCTTTTGTTGTCCACATTCCTTAATCTTCTTGGTCCTGGGACAAGAACCCGAGGTTACTGGTTTAAGCTGACAGTGGAGGTCGAAACTCCTGCAACACTGGGATTACAAGCTTGAGCCACTCTGCCTAGCAGGGGACAGTATGATTTTGGTACAGTATGATACTGTTGCAGGAGTTTTGAACTCTACTGTCAACCTAAACCAGTAACCTCGGGTTCTTGTCCTATGACCAAGATTAAGGAGCGTGAACACCAAAAAGTTGAGTGAAAGAAGTTTATTAAGCAACAAAGCTCTCCAGAAGAAGAGAGGGGACCTGAAATGGGTAACTGGTGCTAGGAGTTTGTTTGTGGTTTATGTCTTATTTTTTCTGGGGGCATTTCTCTCATTTACATCTCATCTGCCCCTTACTTTTTGGGAGCCAATTTTTATTGTGCATGTGGGTCTTTGACCAAGGTTACTCCATCTTGAATATTACCCATAAGTACCACAGAAAAGCCGACTGGGAGAGAGGGGTAAAACCTCAATGCAAATACTATGTTGATGATATTATTTTAAGGCAAGGTCAAGTTAGGTCATTTAGTTAAGTTACTGTGTCTGCATTTGAGCAGCAAAGAGTGTCCCTTTTAGCAGTAATTCTGTTTTGAGAGGATGCTCTTAACCATATTAATCACATTTTAAGCCAAATATTATATAACGGGGGTGGTACAGGGGGTGCTCCCACCTGTGTTATGTCTCCTCAAGACTCTCCCTCTCTGTCTGCCTAACCAACTTGTAACTATCTCCTCTCTCAATATTGACTTCAGAGAATGAATTAGGGGGAATTCTCTCCTCAGTCTTAAGAAATAGTTTCAGTATGTTTGGTATTCATTAGTCTTTGAAAGTTTGGCAAAGTGAGTCTATCAGGTCCTAGGGTATTTTTTGGGGGGAGGCCTTTAATTATATATTCACTCTTGCTACTTGTTTTTGGTCTGTTTAGGGTTTCTATTTTTTCTTTTTGAAAGGTTGGGGGTGTTGTTCTTTTTCAGGAATGTACTCATTTCCTATAGATTGCCTAGTTTGTTTGCATAGAGATGTGTATAATAATCTCAGCTTGCGTTTTTGTATTTCAGTGGTTTTTGTTGTAATGTCTTCATTTTCATTTTGGATTAGGCGAATTTGAATCTTCTCTATTCTTTTTGTAATTAATCTAGCTAATGATACATCAATTTTGTTTATCTTTTCAAAGAACCAAGGTTTTGTTTCACTGATCCTAGTTTTTTTGTTTGTTTCCATTTCATTTAGGTCTACTTCCATCTTTTTTATTTTTTTTCTTCTAGTGGCTTTGTGTTTGCTTTGTTCATGTTTTTCTAGCTCTGGTGTGATGATAGGTTGTCAATATGTGATCTTACAGTCTTTTAAATTTAGGCCTTAAGCATGATAAATTTTTCTCTGTACACAGCCTTTACTATATCCCAGAGATTGAAAACTTGTGTAATTGCCATCATTCATTTTGAGGACTTTTGAAATTTCCATCTTGATTTCATTGTTGCCCTTCTCAGGAGCAGATTTAGAATTGATTTGCAGTTTTATTCCACTATGGTCTGAGATAGTGCCTAATATGGTTTTGATTTTTTTGAACTTATGGACTCATGTTTGTGGCCTATCATATGGATTATTTTGGAAAATGTTTCCTGTGTTGACATATTCTGTAGTTGTTGGATACAATGTTCTGTAGATGTCTGCTAGGATCATTTGCTCTAGCATTCATTTTAACTACAATGTTTCTTTGTTGACTTTTTACCCTGATGATCTGTTGCTGTCAATGGAATTTCGAAGTCTCCCACTATTATTGTATTGCTGTATCTCTTATCTTAGGTCTAATAGAATTTTTCTATAAAACTGGGAGCTATGGTGTTACAGACATATATATTTGTAATTGTTATATCTTCTTGTATCTCTTTATCATTATATCATGACCTTCTTAGGCTTTGTTCACTTTTGTTAATTTAAAGTTTATATTACCTGATATAAGAGTAGCAGCAGCATCTGCTCATTTTTGGCTTCCATTTGCATGGAATATTTTCCCACCTCTTTATCTTGAGTATATAGGAGTCTTTGTGAGTTAAGTGCATCTCTTGGATTGTGGGTGTGTTTTTAAATCCATTCTGTCAATCTGTATCTCTAAAGTTGGACATATATGCCATTTAAGGTTAGTAATGATATGTGAGAGACTATTCTGTTCATAGTGCAGATTGTTACCTGATTATTTATTTCTCTAGTGTGTTGGTGTTTTGAAAGCCCCGTGAGCCTTATAGTTTCCAATGATTTTCTACTGGGGCATTTTGACCTTTTGTTTCAATGTTTCCAACTCTTGAGCATTTCTTGTAGAGTTGATCTGGTGGTGACAAATTCCCTTAGCATTTGCTTGTCTGGATGGACTTTATTTCTCCTTCATTTGTGTAACTCCACTTTGTAGGATTAGAAATTCTGGGCTGATAGTTTTTAGCCCAGAATTTCTAATCTGTTTGAGTAGATTAAAGGTAGTGTTCCAGTCCCTTCTAGTTTGTAGAAGTTCTGCTGAGCACTCTGCTATGTTAATCTAATAAATTCTCCTTTATAAGTTATTGGATACTTTTGTTTCACTGCTCCTAAAATTATTTACTTTTCATTGATTTTGCATAATTTCATGACTATCTGCCTTGTGGATAAACTTTTTGCAATGAATCTTCCTTGAGTACTTTGGAATTCCTATATCTGGATGTTTAAATCTCAGGCACAAGAAGTATCACCAGGAAGGAGTTTGGACTGCACACAGGGAAATGACATCTGCCGGGGTACTGCTTTGAGTTCCTTGGACTCTCAGGTCTGTCTCCCCAGTTGAGAGACTACTAAGCTTTGCCTGGATTTCTTTCCCAACACTGTGGCCTAGAGCCTGTCTTCCAGCAGTAAGAGGGGCAATCATGGTTTGCATCACTCTCCTTCTATTTCTCTAAGGTCACTGTATCCTTTCTTGCCTAAATGCCCAAAACTGTGGAAACCATTTGTTATATATTGTTCATTTCTCTATGTTTTTTTCAGGCTGGGGTATACATTTGGTCTTGTTTATTTAATACTGGACAGAGTAGAAGTTCAATAAGTTGTTTCCCTGTATTTTCCAAAGGTTTTAGTTTTAATTAGTGGAAGTAATGGTATGTAGAGGGCTTTCTTTATATTTGCTGCCCCCTTTATTATCAAATGTACAGATACTAAAGTATTAGAAAAAAACTGATATATTCTTTTTTTTTTTTCCCCTGAGTTGGAGTCTTTCTCTGTCACCCAGACTGGAGTGCAGTGGCACGCTCACAGCCACCACAGCCTTGACCTGCTGGGCTCAGATGATCCTTCTGCCTCAGCCTTCCAAGTAGCTAGAACTACAGACACACACCACCATGCCTGGCTAGTTTTTGTTTTTTATTGTAGAGATGAGGTCTCACCAAGTTGTCCAGGCTGGTCTTGAACTCCCGGGCTTAGGCAATACTCTCACCTCGGCCTCCCAAAGTGCTGGAATTACAGGCTGAGCCTCCACGCGTGGCCACTGATATATTCTCAACTAGATTAAGATCATCTACAGGAACCATTGAACTGTATAATGAATCATTATCAGCATTTTTTCTCCATGATCATTAGCCATTGTATTATTTAAAATTTTTGGAACACCTATTAGTTCTATTATTAGAAAAACATAACACATATTGTTAAAAGTGACTTGTTAACTCTTTAATCTTTTCTTTTTTATGATATTGTCATAAGGTAGATATGTGCTGACACATCGTTTGATCATTGACTATCTCATGTAAGAGAATGTAGCAGTACCTCCAAACTTAAAAGTGAAGTCAACAAGTATGAAACAGCTCTTGAAATTCAGAATTTCAACTTGAACACCAGTAAAGAATGCTGTTTCACCTTGGCTTTGAATGAAAACTCCAGAAATTAGACTTTAGTATGTTTATAGCATATGCTTATGAAGAATAAATCATCGATGGAAATATACATTTAGGAATGTCTCTTAAATATCTGCCTAGAGATTCTCATTTTAAAATAACCTTGGATCAAACAGAGAGAAACCAGGAACAAGGTGGTTAGATTTTACGCCAATGTGAAAACCCAAACCTAAAAAGCATTCTTTTTCATACTGTTGCTATCAGGAAGAGGATAAAGAAGATTGTGAAGATCAAGGAACTTTATGAATAAGGAAGAACCTTTTGTATCTATGAGCTGAAGGATGAGACTATCAAAGAAGCCTTAGACAAACCTGGCAGATTTTGGTCTGACCTAGATGATTTTAAATGGAAAGGAATAGAAGACCAATGGAATGCTTATGAAGAAAGGTCTATGGTAGAGAAGCATTTGGAAAAGTCTCACAAATGGATAATTAAAAAATATTACAGTGAAGCTATTTGTAAAAAGAAATAAAAGAAGTCAGAAAGTGCCAGTGATGACATCAATCACTGGAGGCTGATACAATCTAAGAATAAGGTCCATGAACCAGAGAAAAATGGAGAGACTGAAGGAGTAGAACACAACAGAGAAAAACATCTCCTACTTCAGAGATTAGACCATGATATCAAAGGTAAAACTCACTAGACAATTTCTAGGATTAGATATTATTACAATCACAGTTTTGGCAGAAGAAAACATAGGAAAATAAATACACAAGTTATGCAGAGGCTCTGAGAAAGGAGTCTTCTATCAATCTGGATATCAAGAAGGAGGTAATTAATGCCTTAAAAAATTTCCAAATGTTGAACATAGCTATATGCATCAATATGCAAATTTTAAAGAAGAGGCGTGTGGGATGAGAAAATATTTGTTAGAACAAACAGAAGAGAACAAATCTACCAACACTAAAACAACCTGACATATGTATAAAAAAGTATTTTGGACTGGGCTCGGTGGCTCAGCCTGTAATCCCGCGCTTTGGGAGGCCAAGGTGAGTGAATTGCCTGAGCCTGCAAGTTCGAGACCCGCCTGGGCAACTTGGGAAGACCTCATCTCTACAATAAATCAAAAAAAACTAGCCGGGCATGGTAGCACGCACTTGTAGTTCCAGCTACTTGGAAGGCTGAGGTGGAAGGATCGCCAGACCCCAGTAAGTCGAGGCTGCGGTGGCCGGGAGCGGCCACTGCACTCCAGTCTGGGCGACAGAGTGAGACTCCAACTAAAAAAAAAAGTATTTTGGAAAAGTGACTGAAAATTCTATTCCATTTGCAACCTGTGAACAATTTACTTCTCTCTGTAAGTCAATTCGGTTCAAGAGATGGGATAAAATGGAAACACAGGCAATGTTACTTGCCTCATCTTCAATGACAAGTATATTTTTTACATGTTGACATGTTGTACATCTTGTGGTGGGCGAAGGTCCACATCCACAATTGTGGCCAGATGTAATTAGCAAATTTGCAAAGGTAAGCTTCACTTACAAAGAATTCTGCCCAATTGGTATCATTTGGTTTTCTAATGAGCCATGTTTTGAATTGGTCTGGTGAAATTCTAGTTTATGCCATTTTAAAGATAAAAGAAAATGAATGTGAATTCCCTCCAGATCTTTTGGGCAAATTTTCCTAAACCAGTGGTTTAGCTTAGTTAATTGGTCAACCAGAAGGCCAGGTTCAGAAAATGACGGTTGTGCTGTGAGGCCTCTCTTTTTTTGTTTGTTTGTTTTTATTCATCAATATTTTTTATTATGGTTTTGTGGGGTACAGTTAAGGGTTAGGTGAGTCCTCTCAATCAACAGTTAGGAATGTATCTAGAGCACTGTCAAGATGAGTCAGTAGAACCCCATGGTAAAGTTTGTTCTATGTTGATCCAAAGAAGTTTCTTATCAGAAGTTTGAAGTTATGACATCTTAGTTAAGATATTTGTTTCTCTCGTGGGTCCTCTGGCTCCCCAGTGATTAATGTATGTGAAAATTGGTTACTATGCATACCCTTGGGCATTTTCATAAACCTGGAGATAAGATCTACTGACCTTGTTGAATTTTCTTATTCTATGGATTCTACTCTTTGTCATATTAGGAGACAAACGAGAGTTTGTATAAATTATAAAAGAAGAGAAAAATAGGAACTTGCATAATTAAGAGAAAAGGAAGAAACAAGAGTCATCACTTCAAAGATCATCACATTGAACCCATGGAATATGAGGTAAAAAGATGGTGCCTTGCCAAATAACATGCCTAGAATTTACAGCGTTGGAAGTTGTTTCCTTCTTAGTTAGAAAACTTTTAGAGACTCATGCGGATGTGCAAAACACATATTCATTCTCAAATAAGTCTAGGTTTTGTTTTTCATTGGCTTTTAAAAAAATTTAAAACAAATCTCAAGCCTTTCTTAGAGGACTTAGCTCACTTTTATGCTAAAAAAGACTTAGATATTTGTCATTCTAAATGTCTAGGATGATACATCTTCAATACTGGAAAGGTGGTACTTGTTCTTTACCTAATGAGATAATGGGAAACATACCTTTAAAGTTCAGGAAAATATATGTACAATTTATTACTACCCAAATTTTGAAAAATTTATTTTTCCCTTCCTATGTACCTGTGATGTCAGCCTCTATTGCAAATGGCAATAGAAGATTTCAGGTGCTCAAGTTTTTCTTCTAGTCCATCCCCAGTCTCTCATGAACAGAATATAGACAGAAAAAAGTTAAATATCATGGATTAATTTGCAAAAAAGAGTCTGAACACAAATCAGATTCCTCCAAGTCAATATTATTTGGAACTTAAAATTTAGTCACAAGATAGGGAAATGGCAAATATAAGAAACACAATCCCATAGCAATGATCAAATTCTGTTATGCAGGAATTGCCAGCATGCCCAACTCTGACAAGTGAATGCATTTTTTGATGAGCTCACATTGCAACTCCTGGTTGCTTCCTATTGAAGCTGGAACTTGCTTCACCATTGTCCTTCATGACCCCAGACTTTTTCCTACTATGCTTTTTTAGTCTACTGATTACTGTGGTCATTTCTTTCTCTTTTCAGTCTAGTTTTATTAAGTTTAAATTTCTGTAAGTCAATTTACACTATTGGTGTACAGTTCTATGAATTCTGACTTACAGCTGAATTGCTGTTACTATAATAAAATTTAAAAAGAAATTTAATAAAATATAACTACAGTACTGTCAACTTGCTTACAAAACTTTATTGATAATTTCAGTCAATGTTTATCTTCTCCTAACTTCTAAATTTGTTGTTACTTTTTGCTTGGTTACAACTCGATTGTTCACGTCAGAATCTGAATAATGTCTAAACATTGTATTTGGTTGTGCAAATTTCTGGAGTCACATTTTAATGTGTATTTTCCCTCTTCCTTTTTATTTTTCTGATATTGATCTATTGAAGAAAACAGATCCTATCTGCCCTATACAATGTTCCACATTCTGGAATTACTATTTCATCCATGCGATATCATTTAACATATAGCTGTAAAACCTGTATTTTCTGTAATCTGATGGTTAGATCTAGAAAATGTCATATTCAAATTTGACCGTTTTCAAGCATGCTTCCTAAATGAGACCATGGAAAGTCTAGCCTTCTACTTGGGTTTACTGTCGGCCAGTATCTGATCACCATTTGCAGGAGCATTGTAACATTTTCTTTTTTTTTTTTTTTTTTG